CTGGTATAGACAGTGCTAGGTTAATGGAAGAATTCTTCCATCAACCTAGCTACCATCTATCTGCAGTGACGGGGGAACCCCTCTTGTCGGCATAGGTGTGTGTGTATACTGAAGCCCTACAGCGGCGCAGGAGCATTGGTGCAGCTGAGCCACTGTTATGTTTTCAGTGTCGATCTACCCTTAGCCTGGCTGTTGAGGCCTTCAGCATTGCAGCTGGTTGAAGAAAGGTTTTATTTTGAGGGGAAAAAATTGAAAGCGATGAATTCAAACATGTTTTCAGAAAGTTTCACTTCAGCCATTTGTCACTTGTTTTTTTTTTCCCACCTTGGGGAAAAAAAAGGAGGTGAAGGGTAAAAAAGTGAACGAAAGTAGGGTGCTTTTTCCCTCCACTGATATAAAAACAATTTTTTAATGTAAGTGAGACAAGGTGAGTGAGGTAATATCTTTTATTGAACCAACGTCGGTTGGTGAAAGAGACAAGCTTTTGAGCTACACAGAGCTCTTATTCAGGTCTTTTAATACTGATTTTTTTCACAGAAAAACTTGAAATTTCAAAGGACCCAGCATGATTCCACAAAACATTTTCATTTCTTCAAAACACCATTTTTTTTGGCCAAAATTTGTTTTAAGTTGAAACATTTCAACCAGTTATATTGAGCACACATTATCCAAGGGACTAGATTTTAGTCACATTACAGATCACTTTTAGAGAGAAGTGTGCCCTCTTGTGTCTGACTGGTACAACTGCAGTTAACTATCAAGATACAGGGTATGATCTGTTTTATCTACCCCCGTAGCAGGAAGATCACTGGGTTATCAATAATTTTCTAGAAGTAGAAGACTTTCATTAAATAGATGTTGGTCCTGAAGGGGCTGGAATGGAAGTGATACGATCTGGCTTATGCAACAGGTTCAAGAAATGGAAGAATTTACTACAGTGACCAGCTTGACACACAATGAAGAGCTTTTATTTAAAAATGATTAACAAACCTATGATTACTACCCAGTTCCCAGCAAGAAATTGGCTAACATCCCAGGCTTTACTGGAGGGATTTACTAAGGGATTGTGTGCTGGACATAAGGGAGCATTTCTGGCTACTACGAGGCAGGATGGGGCAGGGCAGGGGCCTGATTCTCCTCTACCTTCCATCTCATGCAGGGGGTACAAAATGCTACCATATCAGGATGGAAGTACATGTAGATATGTCTACACAAGGTACAAAGCATGCCCTGGGACTAAAGTACCATTTACCCCTGTTTTACTAGGACAGTCCCAATTTTTCATAGTTTTTCACTTAGGTGCCTGTTCCATTATAAAAATGACAAAGGCACTTAATTCACTTAGGCATTTTACCCATAACAGCCCAGTGTCCCAGGAACATCTGGAGCACCTGAAATGTCCCACCTGTTCATTTCATCAATCACAACATTTGAAGTTCTTCCTAACCCAAAATACTTATTTAAGATGCACGGCTATAAATATGGAGAACATGTTCTGTGTTTGCCTGGAACAAACGTGTTTGGGGCAAAGAGAAAACCTGAACAAGTACATACACTATCAGAGCTATTTTGTTTTCCAGAGTGAATGTTAATGATACTTGTTCAGTGCTTCATGATTAAGATGGCATGTCTGTAACGGAGGTCATGGAAGTCACAGATTACATGACTTTCCGTGACCTCCGTAGCAGTTGGTGTGGCTGGCTCCGCGCCGCTTCCCGCAGCCCACATTGGCCCAGAGCAGCGAACTGCAGCCAGTGGAAGTCGCGATCTGCCGAAACCGCGGACGCAGCAGGTAAACAAACCGGCCTGGCCTGCCAGGGGGCTTATCCTGGTGGGCCGCGTGCCAAAGGTTGCCGATCCCTGAACTAGAGTATGTCTACACTACGAAGCCTATGTCAGCATAGCTGTACTGGCATACCGGTAGCCCCCTTTCTCTCCCCCACCCTCCACCCCTCCCCGTGCACATGCAGCATACGCCAACAGAAGGAGTTCCAAACAATGTTAACGGACACCCTCTTCTGTCAACATAGCTGCATCTACACTCGGAGTTTTGTCAGCATGCCTATGTAGGTCAGGTGTGTGGTTTTTTTTCACACCTCTAACATAGCTATGCTGACATAACTTTTAAGTGTACACCAAGCTTGACACAGCCCAAAAATGTGGAGAGTACAAAAGTGGCTTAAAGCTCTGATCACAGTTCAAGGCAACAGCACTTGTATTCCCCTCCCATGGCCCCGCAAGGGCACCCACTTCTAGGCTCCTCAGCTGTCACCTTTCTTAGGCAGAGACTAGGGTGATCAGATGTCCCGATTTTATAGGGACAGTCCTGATTTTTGGGTCCTTTTCTTATATAGGCTCCTATTACCCCCATCCCAATTTTTCACACTTGCTGTCTGGTCACCCTAGCGGAGACCCACGTCTTGTTCTGTCCTGATCAGGGCTTTTTCCAAGCTGCACAGTTCCCTGCCTATGCTGTGAGAGCCCCAGAAAGCCAGACTGCATAAACCGACATGCAACTGCCATTTGCTTTCTCCTCAGAGACTATAAACAGCATAATTGTCCACAGTTGTGTTCCCACACAGCTTTTTCTAAGGAAGCACATTTATTCTTAAAGGAGAAAGTAGTACTGAGAAAACAACAACAACTAGGGATGTAAAATATTAAACGGTTAACCAGTAAGCATTAGTCTTACCGGTTAACCCACCTTAACCATTAACCCCCAGCCCCGGGCCAGCCAGCCCCTCTCCCTTTAATTGGTTAACTGATTAAACAATATAATTGTAATCGTTTAAATGGTTAGCTTTTAAAACATCCCTAATAAAAAGACCTACATACATGCTAGAAAGCTTACCAGATGCCTCCTCAACTTCAGTCCTTACAACCCTTCTCAGAAAGGATTGAGGCCCTCCTGGACAGAAGGTCCTATCTGTTTGCTGGATCAGAAAGGAGGCCTGCCTCTGAGTCAGTTTAAATTCAGGCTATTTTATCCAAAAGCCATTTCTTTGTTCGTTGGTCTCTGGAGAATCCAGTTTGAACCAGCATATATGAGCTTCCCCAGCAGTGGTACTTCTCTGGAGGTGTTACAGCCTGAGAAAATTTGCCTAATCACCCCTCAATGTTTTTAGTTCCTGGAAGGCTGTGGTCCACCTCCTCCATGATATTACATACAATCCCTGGCCCACAATGATACATAAACTTAATACAAACAAAATCTCCCAAAGATATTGCAGGCAATTGCCATATCTATCACAGCTTCCAAACCCAAACCCAGCAATGGAGCACCTGAGAAGGTTCACCGACCTTGTTCGCTGCGTGTGCGCGCGCACGTGGTGGTGGGGATGTCTTTCAGATAAGACTTCAAAAATTAAGGGCCTCTGTCTATACTGCATGGAAATTAAAGACCCCAGGTCCTGACTCTCCATCATTCGCTACCTTGTGCAGTCATTTAAACCGTTGCAATGCAAATGTAAAATACTACACCCACTTTACATTTGCTTTGCCTGTTAGAAATGTCTTCATAAGGTGCACTGCAACAGAGAATCAGCCTCCACTTCCTCCCCCACTTTTTTAAAGCTAAAACTCCATTTTCCTAACTCCGAAGGATGAAGCTCTGAGTCAGCCCTGCTGGAATTACAGCTTGCAATTCCCTGGCATTTAAGGATGTCAATCCTGATGTCTAGGGTAAGCCACCAGCCTTGCTGCACATCATTGTGTGTACGTTTTATAACATGGAACGAAGAATGGGCTATCTGCCATCATTGAAAACTATGTAACAGTGACTTTACAGATCTGATTTAAGATAACAAATTAAGATAATATTGTCCCCAGGATGCTAAATATGGGACAATTATGCATTTGGGCAGTTCTGGAGCAGTTATGTTTGATTTGTCCCCATGGTGAGGCAGTACATGTTCCGACTTATATTTAAACCAACCTACATTTATAATCTCTGCTTTAAGAGTAAAACTCAATTTAGCCTTAACCATGAAACCATGACTAGTGCCTCCATAATAATAAGACTATAAAGACCCCTTCATTGTAGAGAGAAACTTTTCAGTCTAAACCGGGGTGGGCAAACTTTTTGGCCTGAGGGCCACATCTGGGTATGGAAATTGTATGGTGGGCCTTGAATGCGCACACAACTAGGGTTGGGGGGGGGTGTGAATGGGGAGGGTGCGGGCTCCATCTGAGGGTGCAGGCTCTGGGGTGGGGCTGAGGATGAGGGGTTGGGGGTGCAGGAGGGTGCTCTGGACTGGGACCAAGGGGTTCAGAGGGTGGGAGGGGGATCAGGGCTGGGGGTTGAGGCACAGGAGGGGGTCAGGGGTGCAGTCCCCAGGTGGCACTTACCTCAAGCAGCTCGCGGAAGCAGCGACATGTCCCCCCGCTGGCTCCTATGCGAAGGCGTGGCCGGGCGGTTCTGCATGCTGCCCTGTGCACAGGCGCTGCCCCTGCAGTTCCCATTGGCCACAATTCCCAGCCAATGGGAGCTGTCGGGGCAGCACTTGGGGCAGAGACAATATGCGGAGCCCCCTGGCTGCCCCTACACATAGGAGCCAGAGCGGGGACATGCCTCTGCTTCCGGGAGCTGTCCGGAGCTACAGCACATGTGGAGCGGGGCAAGTCCCGGACTCCATTCCCCAGCGGGAGCTTGAGGGCCGGATTAAAATGTCTGAAGGGCTGGATCTGGCCCCCGGGCCGTAGTTTGCCCACCCCTGGTCTAAACAGTGGAACCATTTTAACCTTCCCAAGGGTTTAAACCTGCCACGCATCATGAAATATAAAGGAGAATGACAAAAAGCAATGTCAGTGTTTCCATCAAAGACCTCATTTCTCAGGGAACAGATACGAAACTGCAGCTCAGGTGAAATAACAGAAAATAAGGAAATTTGGCCATTCGTTGTAGAAACTCAGAGAATGTTCCCAGAACATTGTTAGGGTCCCTTCCTCTGCTGTGCAGTGATGGTCTATAAATGGGTTACGGGCTATTCTTTGCCACTAACCTGTGAGACTGCAGAATCTAAAGAAATCTGCAAAATGGTCCAGAGGTCCATGTTACATTATCAGTTGGGGGTGGGTCTCAGTTCCAGTCCTTTTCTCTCCAAAGCCAGCATGAGTTGGGAATGCTGCAGGTGGTCAATATTAATAGCAATAGGAGTTACTCTTGCTACCTGGAGAGGTCTATGCCTGCTGATTTGTTTTTATAGTAAACAGAATGCTAATTTCTGTCCTGCTTAGAGGATGCTGCCAGGGTGGGCATGTTCCAAGAAGGAACAGGACTTGTGTCCTGCCTTATTGCAACAATATCTTTTCCCGCAGGAAGAGGGAGTATAGCCTGTTATTATGGGCCCAAATCTTCTAGTCTCCATGCACTCAAAACTCCCAATGGTGTCAGTGGAATTTCTGGAGGTGCACTGATTGGAGGACTGGGCCCTAAGGTGTTAGGTTAAGGCTTCAAACAACCCTCTTCCCATTTCACACAACGAAAACCTGCCCAGTCTCCATGGGGGGATAGAGAAGATCCTCAGGAGGTAGGAGGAGTGCAGTGTCAGCAGCAGACTCTCCTTTCCTTTGTGGCAGTCCCATCATGGGCACTCCATGGGGATGGGGCACCTGTCCAGTTTGGGGGGTGGAGCAGGGGCAGTCTTTGCCATTCTGCCCTCCCTTGGAAGGGGAAATCCACACTTAGGCTGTTATTGTTTGAAGCAGTGGTATCTCAGGCTGCACTCACCTTTGAAGAGAGATTTGCACAGGTGAAGGCAGCCTGCCTAGAGAGAGAAGGGTCCAGAGAAGCAAGAAGGGGGGATTCCTGGGATCCAAAGAGTGGGCTCTTCTGTGTCCCCATTTGAGGATGGGGTTTCAGGGGAATTCCATGTGATGACGACCTCTGAGTTTCCAACCTCTTCAAGGAGAGCACAGGTTAGCCTCTTGTTGGGTAACTTCTACACTTACACTCAGTGCAGAGGAATTTGTGCATTAAAAATAAACAAGAATAAGAACCAAGTTGACTTCAGCTTTTGAGAATCTCTTTGTCCAAAGGTTAGAGATTTAGGTCCTGCCTGTACAGTTTGGTGTTTGTGGGTCTGTTTTTCAGCCCCACAGTGCTAGGCATTGCACAAATACATAAATAGTCCCAGTGAGCAAGCCTCATTTTGCAATGGTGCAGTATGTCTACATTAGGTGTTTTCATCAGGATCGTTATACTGCTACAAATTTTCCTAACTCTAGACAAGCCCTTTTGAAATGTGCCTTAGAAGGCATTGTGCAATCTCAGCCAGCAGATGTCTCCTTAATACACACTCTAGCTCAATTCACACACACAGCTTAACAGGGAAATGGACTTTCCATTAAAGCCATTCAAATTATATAGTCAGACATTCTGTAGAATATTTCCTGGCTGGCTCATGAAAACCCATAATGCATATTCCACTTAGAAACAATTCTGCCGACAGATCATTTGTATCAAATGATAGTTTACACATTTCATCCAGAAAGAACTCTAAACCAAATTATAAACACCATGCACTGGATGTGCCACACCCAGTGCTGAAATGCAGCCTTGTCTGGGGTGAGAATGGCAGCTGTTTAACAGCCTACAGCAACACTACACAACAGTATTTGCTCAAATGTTATTTCTAAGGACATTTGCATTAATACAGATCTCTGCTTTCTTTCTACTTTGGCTGCTTGGCCTCAACTCAAACTAATCCTCTGCTTGTTGTTTGTGACTTCACAATTGATTGCTATGGAAACAATTTTGATGTCATGGAGAATTATTAGTTCAGGTAGGGAGAAATAAGCAGCAAGAGCAAATACATTCTTAAGAAACAAAGAGCCTGTTTACATGCAAATGCCCATGTGTGGTAAGGGGGTGAGGGAACAGAAATGCAGCTAATCTATAAGCAGACCGTTTCCAGAGAGATTTGGCAGTTTCCAATAATGCAACAGCAGCTCTTTAATATTTAACTGGCAAGAATTTCACTTGTAAAAAATGCGAACAAACTGAAAGGTGAAGATTCAAATATCTAGTCAAATCTCTCTATCCAACAAGCTTATCCATCAATAGTCACTGACCTGCTGGGTGACTTTGGGCAAGCAAGTCCCTTCCACTCTCTGCGTCTCTACTTTCCCGCAACCTGTTACCTGTCTTATCTATTTAGACAGTAAACTCTTCAATACAGAGACCATCTTTCACTATGCTCACATACTGCACCTTGCACAAGATCTTGGCTGAAGCCTTTATGTTACAATTTGTAACAAAACAGATGAATTTAAGGAGAAAGGTGAAAAATCATAGTCAATAAGGGGAAATTCTAAATAGGACTCATGGCTGTAGGCTGAGAACTTTGCATGTCTGACAAGGTAAGTAGGGGTCAGTTCTAGTCAGTGCGTGGATAAAGGAACACCCAGGTGGTGCAGGTTATTTAGAAGGTGATGCTCAGCACTGAAGCTAATGCCACAGCATGGTGATGGAGGGGTGTGGAATGGGCTGTCTTTTGGATGAGAAGGGAAATTGAAGTCCTCACCACTTATCATCATTAAACAGCTTGCAGTTCTCTTCACAAGAATAGGGGCATGAACCTGTGTCCTAGAGCAAACGGGGGTTCTGTCTCTATTCCCCAGCCTACTACCATCCACTTCAGTGCCTGCCCCATTTTGTGTTTCCCTTTCAGCCCCCAGAGCATCCTCTCTCCCAATTAGCCTGTACCCCATTCTGCTCCCACAGCCCCAGACCTGCCTCCCTATGGCCTCGATTAGTCCTCACCATTAATTATCCCCCACCAGCTCCAAACCCCATTACCCCCTCATCCTACTCCCACCAGCTCCAAACCCCATTACCGCCAGCCCCGCCCCCTTACCCTCTCACCCTGCCCCCCTTATCCCTTCACCCCCACTAGTCCCTGCCCCCTTACCCTCTCACCCTGCCCCCCTTATCCCTTCACCCCCA